CATGAAGGACAGAATCTATAGAGCAAAAAATAATGCTTGGAACATCATCTTCTTCCACCACATAAGAAGCATCTGTCTGAATACCAATCTCATTCGTTTCAACTGTTATAGATGGAACTGAATGACAATGATTTGACACATCTATATCATCTGGAAGTACAAAATTTAACCACATAATTATCAAATTATTGCACAATACAAAATTATATATTTTATATCTATACGTAACCATAATTTTAACTACTATTTGTACCTTTTTAAATAAATAATTAATTGGAGAAAAATAAGACTATTCTTAATTACTATATATAAATTATTGTTTTACAAAAACGTACAATCACTACTTGACGCACATAAAGCTTCTACATTCTTTCGTCTAGCTTCTAAACGTTTGGCTCTATCAGAATTAACTGATGTTTTTTTTCTACAAATGGGTGGAAAAATAGTTGGACAAAATGCTTCGTTCCCGGGATTATCCGATTTTACTCCACCAACAAAATGAATGCTGCATATTGTTGAATTTTTCGTAGGCATCCATGGCTTTCCGTCTTTACTAAAATAAGCAGTAGTAAATTTTGCTATTTTAAATAATCACAATTTTGTCACACACAATTTTGATACACTTAATGGATTTATATATCCTGATACAAAAATTAGTCTGAAGTAGGTCTGAACAAACTTCTAAAATTGAGACATTTAAAACTTATTTCAAAACAGTTATTAGACTATAAATTATTTTGCCCAGAATACTCATGATTTTTTTAATTGATTTAATTTTATATGTTATAAGTTTTCTTTTTCTCTTTATTATAATAAAAAATTTTGTTAACTAAATTTTATTTACATACTCATTATTAACAGTATATATGACTGCGAAACATATATATAATCTTTTTCAAAACAATTTTTTAAGGTTTTTAGGTTAACTTTTGTAGTTACATTTTCATTCCAATAATACCCAGAGATTATATATATAATTGTTTGAGAAGATATTATTAATTATATTACAAAATAACTATATTACAAAAAAATCTTTATTACAAATATTGAAAGATAATTTTAAAAGACACAACGATACTTACGTCAAACGTCGCACCACAGTTATCCATTTCTTTTTTCGCTCTATTTCCCATGGACGATTTGGAAATGAGTAAAAACGAACATTTTTTGTATTTTTTCTTGTATTTTTGCACCCCACTACACAACAACAATTATTAGAATTCTTTTTCTCTGCAGAACTCATTTTCTTTTATCGTTGTTTCTCCCGGAAATATTTCGACACGGCGCTACACGGTGGCGCTGAGAACGATGCTTAACTAGCGTATACGCGACAACTCCAAAAAGTAATGATGTGGTAGTGGGGAAAGGGGGAGGGGAAATTAATGTTTATAGAACTGCGCAGTGGATTTTTTAGGAGAGAGGGAAGTAAAGCCTACTCTAACGAAGATGATGGGGGAGGGGAAGGGGAGTAAAAAAGAAAACAAAAAGTTATATATAATTTATTTATTAAAAAAAGATCGCAAATCTTTCTGGCGTCGCGCGCGACCACCAATTAAATAGTTTTATTACATTTTGTAACGCGCAATTCTTTTCATGTTTTCCGCATCGCATAGTATTGGTGTCATCTAGTTTATTCAAAGATTCGATATCTTCGTAATGCGAATCCAGAGTCTCGACGATTAGGTTTTTTCGCGCATAATTCTCTAGCAGATCCACCAGCCATTCTCGTTTCTGGCATCCCTTGACGTACACGAGAGTCGGCATCTCGTCGTCATCGTCTTCTTCTTCTTCTTCTTCCATACCAAGCACGGCCGATGTAATCAGGCGTTTCACCATGCTGTACGGCACGTCCCGTCTTCCCATCGTAATCCATGGTGATTGCGAATCAACCAGGTAGCGCACGATTTGTCGGATTTTGTGAGGAGATTCCACGGCATGGGGTACGTAAAAATGTGATGCGTCAGAACGCAGCCTTTTCTCAGCACCGCCACCTCCTTCACGACAAATTTCATCCCGACGAGGAATCCTTGCAGGTCCACGAACGTTGGTACGGACATGACGAGATTTCTTTATCTTTCTTTCGCTCGTCGATGCGTCAATCGACAGGAATGACGCGCAACTCTGCAAATCGTCTCGCGACACTCTGATTTATACTTCCTCCTCCCTCCCTCTCTCCATTGCTTCTCTAAATAATTTTATCGGAGACTGATGGAAAGAGAGAGAGAGAGAGAAAAAATAATATTCACGTCAACGTTGCCGCGAACACTCAGACTATTTTGCGCACCACGTTCGTCAACGGGTTGTACTCAATCACGCGGTCGTGTATGATGAGACAGTACGCGGAGGTATTCGGCGGTACGTTCTTCGTGCAGTCGAATTCTATTCTGACATCCACGGTGGCGTTTTTGACGGATTCGTTTTGGCGGGAGCAATCGATGATCACGAACGGGCCGTTACGTAGAAAAGTCGAAACGGTGAGACTCGGCTCGAGATATTCGTATCCGTAGTAGCCCTTGCAGAAACGTGCGTACATATCGTACAGAATCGCCCATCTGTGTTTGCCAAAGTCCAAATTCAGATCGTTGTACGGATAAACTTCCGAGTTTAGATAGAGTTTTACGTTGGTCAAGTTGCAGTTGTCGAATCGGCTTGTGTCGGCGGACATGACATTCTTCCGACCCGTCTGCAGAGCAAAGACGACGTATCGCGGTTTCTCGAGCTGAGTCGCGGTCTTAATGGCCCACGAGTGCTTGGTCGTGTTCTGCAACAGGGGATACTCGTACAGATCTCACGAACGGAAACCCATACTTAGATATCGTCCGTCTTCCAAGGCGCGCAGCATCGACAGCTTGTTGATCTCGTTCAATACCACGTGCGGCATTCGCCATTGTATCTTGAGTATTTTGATAGTAGGCTCCAACGCGAGACTTCCCACCAGGGAATTGTTGTCGTTGCGCGCTCGTATCAAGATCATTTCGTGACGAGCGTTGATCACCACGCGTTTGTAATCCTCGCAAAATCCCAGTAACAAGTTGAGCGGTACGCAGAAATTGAAATATCCGTTCGGATTATTATGTGGTTCCCAGCTCGCGTTTCGCAGGATCACGCTTCTGTCGGACGATACCGTAACGTAGTTCTTGAGCGTGCTGGTTATTCCTACGTTTCTGCAACAATCAATCTCCATACCGTCGAGCTCGTATCCAATCTCATCGAACATGAACGCGACGCAATTAGTACCCAATACCACATTATCGACTTGGTCGGCTGCTCTGGTCACCGTCAATGTTCCTTCGACGTAGAGAAAACTTTCGCACGGCAACGTATACAGATCCTGCTGTTGTATGGGTATTCGTATCTCGTCGCTATAATCAAACGTTGTGATGGCGTACGGGTTGTACGTGTGAGTCCCGATCTTGACGATGCGATCGTCAAAGACCGGTTAGCTTCCGCTTGAGAATTTCAGTCATCGTTTAGATGTTTCGCACCGCGAATCCCAGAGATTGTAAAAACTTAACGTTTGACGCGTTGAGCATCTTTCTCGTCGCTTGTTTAACGCCACCGAATGTCGACTTAACGATATCGTCGATCGGTGCAGCCGTAAAGATATTACTGTTATCTGTCGCGTGCTCCGAGTCGTTCAACACTAGCATCTCATATGTCGCGCGTACACTCACGTTCACGCATACACTGGCGCGTTATCGCTCTCGCCGTCGTACGTGCAATCTGACGGTGATCTCTTCTCCGCGAAAATTGAGCAATCGTCCGTCTTGATCAGCGACGCGTATCGTTAGATTTGTAATGCTCCGCGCGATGATCGGCAGATAAATAATCTGCGCCGGCGTTTCCGATATCTTATATCCCGTATCCCGGTGGTACGCTTGGTGAAAATTCGTGTATCGTATGAACGCGTTTGTCGTTGCTGTACGCACCCGCGGTCACGTTACACTCCACGCGGATAATGTTTACGTTGATAATATTAATCGGTGCGTCCGATTCGTGCCACTGTCTCGGCTGCAATATACGCGTCGACAAGAATCCCAGCAGCGATCCGACGTTGTTCGGTTTGTTAAAGTTCACTCTGAAAGCGCACTTGATCTCGCTCTTCATCGTATTGTAATTTGCGCGAAGCACTATCCAGGTATTCCGCGACCTCGTCTTCGTAGCCGTTCGCGCGAACAGTCTCCTCTCGCGCGATATCCGCGATCGACGTACGACGATCGTCGTTGGAACGAACCACGCGTCGCGGACGTTTACGTGAAATTTCACGTTTCAAAAACTCGTGTATGGCTTGTACGATCCCTCGGAAATCGTAATTTCTGTGTCATCCTCGTCGAAATAAAATTTATTATTCTAAGAATTCACGTTCGGAATTGTGTGATAAGTCTTGAAACACGTTAGACCGAGCTCGTAGTCACCGTCGCTCAGATCCACGGCGGGAAAATAGTGCTCCGCGAGGATGCTACTCTTTCCGGTCAGCGTAAACGTTAAGGTGCCTGTTGACGATTGTACCGCCAGAACGGCGTTAGTGAGAAGTAGTATTA